TGTGTATTTTTTATATTAAGTACTGTGTTTTTTAAACAAAGTTAAGTTTTTTAAATTTCTGTTTTTGTGGGAGGTCTCATTACTTCCTGTGTTCCTCTTTGACCCATTATGCAGTGTCGTCACATTTTTATAATGTCTTTTGTAATAAATATTTCGTAATTCCAAATCTAGAATTGATTGAGGAATATTTTGACAAATGTAATCGTTAAATTTTCCATTCAAATATTAATTGTTAACAAAGTTATTGTATAAAATATAAATAAGGCCATCTTTTGCTCTGTGATTACGTTCATATTATTGAGTATAAAATTCTAACACTTGTATTTACTGTTGGTTGTTATTTACTGAAAAATGGCGATATGGGAAAAAGAATATAATGGAATAAATTGGTCTTGTAGGCACGTACGCGAAGCAGGAGGAATCTGTATTGCGGATGAAGTTCAAGTCGGTTTTGGAAGAGTCGGCACTCACATGTGGGCTTTTCAATTGTACGGCGAAGACGTTGTCCCGGACATAGTTACGCTGGGCAAGCCCATGGGCAATGGTCATCCTGTTGCGGCTGTTATTACGACGCCAGAAATCGCGCGTAGTTTTTATAATACGGGCATCGAATACTTCAATACGGTTAGTTTCGAAAGATGTTACTAGCATTAGCGTTTTAAAATTGTTTAAGATATTTATAAGATATTTATCTCTGTGACTAAAAATATTCTGTGTAATTTTAGTATGGAGGTAATCCTGTATCCTGCGCAATGACGAACGCGGTAATGGAGATCATAGAACGTGAGGGTCTTCAGGAGAATGCTTTGAAGGTCGGCAATCATCTGCTCGCAGAATTGAAGAAATTGGCGAAACGACGGAAGATTATAGGTGATGTGCGCGGCGCAGGCCTGTTCGTCGGCATCGAATTAGTACGTGACAGAATTAAAAGGATACCAGCGACAGCAGAGACGAAGCATGTGGTGTCCAGGATGAAAGAGAAGAAGATTCTTATCAGCTGTGACGGGCCTGACTATAACGTTCTGAAATTGAAGCCGCCAATGGTCTTTACACTCGAGAATGCCAATCATTTCATATCCGTTCTCGATAAAGTACTCGAAGAAGTTGATGTCGACTTTGACGAGGTAATTTGCATTTTGCATTTACTTAGATATGCCGTCAATTATAATCTTTATCAAAATAACATATCAATGAAATATTATTTTTTTAAAAAGAATTAATATAAAATGAATCATTTTTTTCCAATTTTATTATTAAATTTATACACTTGAAAAATTTTAAAATTTTAATATAGTTAATATAATAATTTATATATATAATTATTTCAGGAATCGGAAACTACTACAACTATTATCAAAGCAACAATCTCGTCTATAGGAGTCGATAGAAGTACCGTGATGAATAGCAATGAAAATTCATTATTTGTTCGCGCTAATTAATAACGTATATATTATGCAAATATTGCAAATATTGAATTTAAGACAATTTTATATAAAAAAAGTATTATTATTTTTAAGATTAATATTATACCTCTCATTTATGATATATTTTTATATAACTTTATCAGAAATATACGTAAATAGAAGTAAACATTATTTTAGTAAAATAAGATAATAATATTAAGATATTATAAGATATATTCAACAACACATTTTTACATAAATGAAATTGTTTATTGATTACAATCTTTCCATAGCAAAATAATTTATTTTTATATAAAATTACATATTCAATTTTGTAATATATGTCAGTTCAAGTTTACTTCCCAATATTTGGAAATGTTAAAGCTTTTCTAAATAATCATGTTTTACTTTCTCCGTACTTTTTTATATTTTTTAAAATTCTATTACCAAAATAATTATTTAATTAAATATATTGTATTTATAATCTCTTGTTTAACTTTTTTATATGTGAGTTTATATTGCTCGAACTTTTACTTCAAAAGTAAGACAACTCAAAAAATTAAATTTTTTAATAATGGTATTATTTTTTAACTTGAAAATTAATGATTAATCAAATATTTATTGACAAAAAAATAATATTTTTAACATGACCAAATGTCATTTTGGTTATTTTCGTTTTACAACTCTTAAGAAATTATTCTTTTTTAGTTATAATGATTTTGACGATTTTTTAGACCCTCTTTAGCCTAATGTGACTTTGAAGTCATACTAATATATCAATATTTTGTTAATTTAGATGAATGAGAGAGAAATAAATATTCGACTAATTGATCATTTCTTATAGACTACGGCATAAATTAACATTAAGGCCAGAATAAATCTTTTAATGCTTTTGCAAAAAAAATTATTGTTTAATATATTGTATAACCTACCAAATCTATTGTTAATTTGTATTTAGAAATTGATATTTGTTGATTTTACATTATATAAATTTATTTAGAGCCACGAAAAATTCGGGCTATAGAAGATTGAACTACCTTATTTGAGTTTGTAACGATTTTGATAATTTTTTAGTTAAGTTATTTTATTTTTTATGGTTATAAGTCCTGTTTTATGGTCATATCTTGAAAATTACGTTTTACGAACGTTGTCACTTTAAAAGCAAGGGATATAATACGTTTGTATAAAGCCATATGTCCAGATTACTATGATCTTATATTTCTCATAAAAAGGCTTACTTTACGGATATACATATACAGCTTATGTATCCTTCTAAAAGAGTTAGGCAAAAAAATTCCGTAAAAAAATAAAATATTAAAGCAATTGAGACAGTTAAAGTTCGACTTAGGCTGTTGCACCATTAATAATAATATATTATACATATAATAAAAATCCAATGTGCAAACTCAGTAATAAGCAAATGAATGAGTGAACATTCGAGAAAATATATGGAAAGTAAGATAAGAATATAAGTTTACAGAATATAAAAATTTACATTTTTTTAAAATAGAAGTATTTCCGATAAGATAGATTAAGTTAGTAAATGCAAATCAAATAGAGAATGATGTAAACAGATTGATATAATAATTTGTAATATTTTTGTATACAGAATGTTTTGAAAGTGAAAGTCAATCGCTCGCGTAATTGACCTTCGTTTTTAAAACATCCTGGTGATTAGAAATTATCAATAATTTCATCATCAATAATTTCGGAGAAAATTAACTGGATTGATTAAATTGGATCGGTTAAAATAAGACATCCTTTATATCTTACAATTATAAGTGCAATAATATGTACAAGTTAAATTTTTAGAGATATATATATATTTTTATATATATTTTTATAAGTTGCAAAATATTGCTACCATCTCTTTATTGAAAGAATAAAAAATCAAGTGGTAAAAAAGTTTTAAGGCCGACACTGACGTTTTAAGATTAGCACAGATTTTTGCATAATGCATAACGCATAGTGCACAAATCTGAATCAACTGATCAGAATCTTTCTTTTCCTCTCATTCCATGGAAAAGAAGAATTTCGATTGGTTGATTTCTTTATGTACTATGCATTGTGCGTTATGCAAGAGTCTGCAGCAATTACTCCTTATAAAAAACGAAGTTAAATAATTGCTGGTTTATTCTTTCGTCTTTACATATGTTTTTAAACTTTCGTCTTTATATATAATTTTATATTTTTAATTTATATATTTATTACCGACTAATAATTACCGAAATAATAATTTTTTTTTGCAAGAAAATCCTATTCTATGAAGTTTGTAAAATACATAAAAAATTTTTTAAGAAATATATTAGGTGTTGGAATTAATTCGTAGCGTTTTACAAGTGATGGGAAGTACTTTCATTAATGTATTTTTTAATGCTCATGTGAAATAAATAACATTCTTTCATTAAAAAACGCTACGAATTAATTCCAACACCTAATATATTTTTCTCAAATATTTTATTTAAATATTTTTTTCAATATTTTAGTAGACACGTAGTACTTAAAGGCTGAAAATACATAAAAATTAAAAAAAAATTTCTAGCATATATTTTTTATTAATACACAATTTATCATAATCTGGAAAACAATAATTTAAAAAATACTTGTATGTGAGTGTGTACGTGCGTGTGTGTGTGTGTGTGTGTGTGTGTGTGTGTTTGTGTGTGTATGTGTGAAAGGAAATGTTACTTAAAAATTTTCTAATCGCGTAATCATCGTTAGTAAATATCTCCTGCATTAACACCGATATCTCGCGACTTGGATCAAAGTTTGACTTTTTTTTAGCATTGGAAAATGTATGCAAGTTCACATTACATCCACTAATATCTCCCGTTGCTTTTCGGAGACATTTTCATTCATGATAAGATACAAATAAAAAAAAAATAAAATAAAATAGTATTTAATGACATAGGATCGTTTTCATAATCATTGTACTAACAATCTTCAAATGTCAAGCAAAAATTCAACACGTGCACAAAATTATTAATGATCTTTCGGGAATCAATTCTTCTATGTTTCTACTCTTTATTCAATAAAACGATGAATATATTAAGTAAAACTTACCTGATTAAAAAGAATTTTTTTATTAAATTTTATATATATATAATTTAAAATACACACACATATATATATATATATATATATATAAATATATGTGTATTTTAAATTGTACATATTTAAATTTTGTGAAATTTTTATATATATTTATGTATTCTGTTTCGTAGCACAGACAATTGTATTTTGCGTAAATTCCAAAAAATGTTAAACAAATAATAACATTATTTTTTTTATTAATTCCTAATTACGTCAAACTTAAATTTTAATATGGTATCTAGAAAACAAGTGATTAATAGATAGTAATGTGTTTTCATCAACTAACAAAGTTAATAATATCTTCAAACGAAGTCAAAGTTCTGTCCGGAAGTCCGATGGCACGACCCGTCTTTACTTTCTTAAATATGCTGCGGATGTTATAAGTAATCTATCGTGTGAAAGGTTAAAAAAATTTGTCACGTGTTCATAAACGGTATAGTTTCAAGTACGGATACTGAATCTCTGTGGCTATCAGCAGGTCAAGCTGAGTTGGCATACTCCTGTATATAAATTAAATCAAGAAGAAGAAGCTTTCATTTCATATTTGATACCTGGTAACCACATAACATCATGTGGTTTCCTGTCATCCTTCTACTAGGTAAGAAAGACAATAACTTTATGTAGATGGTAATAATATCCACGAAAATTTCAAATATCTCATACTTTCATGAAATTTTTGAATTGCTACAGAATTAATTAATTTTTCGATTGATATAAAATTATTGCTGCAAAATCTGACTTCCATATTTTCAGTGGATAAACTTATTGTTTAACTAATTTATGTATTAAAGTAAATCCAACTTTTTGAGACAACGTAATAAGGATCATCTTAATTTGACAAGAAAATACAAATTTCAATTATTATAATTTGGTAATTTCTCTTTGGCAGCCGGTGTGGCCGTGGTCACAGGCACGCTTGATCACGAGCATGCTTGGGAAAAGGAAAACGAATATGAGTACCTTCTACACAGTCGGACACTGGCAGGTCTTGACAAGTTGAAACAACAATATACTGGACTTCAAATGATGGCTAAACTCATCGTTCATGTAAAATCGCCACAGAAATTGCAAATGAGACTGTCCAATCCACAGTATGCTCATCTACACACCACATTAATGGACGGCCCGGAAACCGAACTTCCTGATCATATGCTGGAGTATCGGAAGATTCCTATGTCAGGAAAGCCATTTGAGGTCACAATGAAGCATGGAGTGATACGAGATTTATTAGTCAACCGTGATATTCCTACTTGGGAATTGAATCTCCTCAAGAGTTTCGTGAGCCTGCTGCAAATTGACACGCAGGGAGAAAACGCGGTAGAAACCAGGAGCGCTCAAATTCCAGTCGACGAAAATTCTCCCATTATATTTACAGCCGTAGAAGATTCCATCGGTGGCAGGTGCGAAGTACTATACGAGATCTTACCATTGGACTCAGATGCTCGAGAGATATCAGACAGGATACCTTTACCGGATTTACGCGGTGAGGGGTATCATTACGACGTTAAAAAAATGAGGAATTACGAGAAATGCCTTCAGCGACAAGTTTATCGTCGCGGTCTAGAAGATCCATTGCTCCAAGATAGAGTCCAACAGGATAAAATGATTTTGGTGAGTTAATTGATAAACTGTTTTATATTCTATGCTTATAGTTAAAAAATATGCAATAATTACAATTGTTGAAAATTATGAAAAAAAATATTTTTTAGGAAAACTGATTTATTTAAAATATTAGTATTTTTCTAGCAAATGATAGCAAATGATTCAAACTACTATATCAATAGAATCAAACTATTACAATCAATAAAAAAGAAAATGATAAAATTTCTTAATGAAACTTATTTGCGCGGTTATGTGATTATTACAGGAATTATCTTCGACTCGAATGCTTCTCTCGGGCCATCTGAAAAAATTCACTATTCAATCTGTCGTAACGAAGAATCATATATCTGTTAGGCCTGAAAAAACTGATCCTTTCCTTGGCAACGTCCACAGCGTATTGAAATTGACTTTATTGAAAAAGGACAAAATATCCAGGCCACTGTCTGATTCACTCGAATCAACCAACCTCGAGTCAACTGGAAACCTAATATATACGTATAATAATCCATTTTCTGATTCTGAAAACCCAATATTACCAAGCGTCAGTATGAATTCCGAGCAAATATATTCATCAGAGAGAACCAGTTCTTCTGAAAAAAATTGGGACAACCAGAACAGCTTCTCTAGAAGCTCCAGCGATGAGGATCAGAGTAATATTTTACCTAAAAGAATGGCAATGCCCAATGCTCCAAAAAGCCCGCTATTACGCCTCATGACCGTCACAAATATGGAACAAATCAAGGACTTAATTCTTGAAATAGCTACCGCAATAAATTCTTCTAATGACACGAATCTAAGTGCAATGGAGCAATATGTGTTCTTAAAAAATTTCGTGCGCATCATGAGCCTCAAGCAGATTGATGAATTAGAAGAACGCTTACGTAATCTCAAAATTCAAGATAAAGATTACAAGAATGTTATCTGGAGCGTCTTACGGGATACTGTTGCACAAGTTGGAACAGAACCCGCTTTGTTGACTATCCACAATTGGTTAAAAAATAAAAAAGTTGAAGGTCTAGAGGCAGCAAAAATTGTATCTCAAATTGCCAGGCATGTTAACAAACCAACAAAAGAATATGTCAGAATGTTGTATGTAAGTATCTATTTATACGTAATAACATGTTAATAATGAATTAATTTTTAATTCTTCGCAGTCCGTCATAATGTTTATTATATCAACAATTGAAAATGATATGCACAAAAAGAAATCATTCTATTGCTAAAAAACATGATTACTCAATTTACTTTTTTTTTTTAAATAATGGTTATATTTAACAAAGAATATTTTCTTAATAAGAATCTTAAAATATGCTTATATTACAAATTTTAGGAAAAATTAATTTTAATCTACTCAACACAAGAATTTTTATTCTTTTGAAGAAAAAAATTTATCGGAGAAACGACTTTATATAACAAGCAAATTGAATTTGTTTAATAATATTGATTGAAATATTAAACTATTAGGATTCAGAATATGTTTTTAACAAATTTAATGCTTGTGATAAATTTATGATGGATTTACTAGTATCAATTTTTTAAATATATTTGAAACAAGTAATTATTATTTCTATTCACAGTAACAAATGTTTTGTATTTGTGTTAGAAATAGTCCACTTAAGTTCTTATTAAAATTTTGTATTGAATTTTTGATATATTCAAGTGTCAATTTAATATAATGTGATTGTGTTATTTGAATATTTTGTAAATTGATATTTAATATTTTTTAGTGTTAAAATAATAATTCATGAATAATAATGAACAAAAACGTAAAAATAATGTTTTTTAAAATTAAAATTTTAAAATAAATGAATAAAATGTGTTAATTTAACATATTATAAATGTTAAATTTATTGAAATACGTTGATTTAACATATTATAAATATTAATTGTAATGAAGAAGAATAACTATTTATAAATTGTTATTAGAATTATTATTAGAATTACGCTTTGATGTTTTACGTAATATTTAATTTTTAATATATTCAATTTGTATTAAATTAATATAAAAACAAATTCCAATTGTGTACAATATATACGTACAACATATGTATGTACATATGTACATATGTATATACTTCCCTGTATAAAAATAAAAATAAATTTTAACTTTTATCTGATTTTTGTGCAGGAAATGGTAAGGGATCCATCAGTATTGTACCAGACAGCCGTAAATGTGACCGCACCATTAGCACTTGCTCAAGTAATACGTAAATATCATGTCAATACTAACTATTTGATGCGCAGTTTGAAGCATTTAGGCCCTACTCTCAGGAATAATGTACCCACACACATCGAGATAAGCAACGTTTATATTCCCTTTATGACTGAACAACTGAAACAAGGCTTGGATAATTATGATACTTCAAGAATTCAAGTATATATCATGGCACTTGGTTTGACCGGCCATCCGAAGATTCTCTCGATCTTTGAGCCGTACTTAGAAGACAAGGAGTCGATTTCGAAATTCGAACGTTTACTCATGGTATCTTCCTTGTCCACTTTAAGCAGATACGAACCGAAATTAGTTGGACCAATTTTTTATAAGCTCTACTCGAACGTAGACGAAGATCATAGAGTACGTTGTATGAGCGTACATCGATTTATTACACTCAACCCACCTTTAATTACGTTGCAACGCATAGCGAAATTTACTAATGAAGATTTGGATGAAAACGTAATCTCTGCTGTAAAAACTACAATAAACAGTCTCGCCAATACGAAGTTACCAGAATTGCAAGATCTCGCTGCTAAGGCGCGCAATGTCAGGCATCTATTGAATCCGAAAGAGTTTAGTAAATGGAATTCACGAGGCTACTACACGGACTTGAATTATTGGGGTATTAAGGACCTTAGAATGCAAACCATTGGTGATGAGGGTATAGCTCCTTCATATTTGCGCGTTGCTGTAAACACTGCTTTGAATTTCAATAGATTACCTACTTTCGAAGGAGGATATCTAGTATCGAATGTCAGGCAGCTTTGGAACAATTTGAAGAGCGAAGAAACAAGTCATGAAATGTTGAAAAAATCACGCATTGAGAAACTTTTGAAAGTACTTCAGCTCAAGTCCGAAGATCTAAATAAATTGGAAGGACATGTTTTTCTGAGCACAGTACACGATCTTCTGATCTATCCCTTTGACAGTCAAACTGTTCGAACAATTTCCTCTCGTAAGTATCCTGAATTTTACTACAAAATTATATTACTTTTAAAGACATAAACTATTATTACATTACAGGGTTGAAGAATTTCTTCAAGAAGGACCAACGATTGAATTTAACTTTGTTCAATAATTACGAAACGATGTTAAGCTTCCCAATTGAAAGTGGCCTGCCATTCCTTTATAGTTTGAATTCGCCAATGGTTTTAAAATTGAAAGCTGAAATGAAAAATGACGAACTTTCGAATAAAAAGAAAACTGGCATTTTGAATATATATATTGCCAATAAGGTTCAGAAGCAGTTTGGTTTTATAGCACCTTTCGAGCATTATAATTACATTGCTGGTATTCATGTCAATCGAATGTTGCATTTACCATTAGAATATGAAGTCAATCTTGATTTGACTCAACGAAACCATGATACTGGTGCGTTAAAGGTTCGTCTACAAAGGAGTCAAAGGAGTCTCACTGCATTGCATCTCAGCACTGTTCCCTTCACCACGCGACAAAACCTCCACGATCTTCAACCTGTATCTCTTAGTAGAAACACGCATGTTGTACTAACAGAAAAACCACGTAAAATTTTACTAGAGAAAGACTTATTTTCTGTCCAAGTAGAAACTGAAAACGAAGAAGAAGAACGAGCTCGAGACGATGATAGCATTTACCAGCTCTTGTTAAAATTACGAAAGATACCTGACGGCCAATATAAAAGATTGGATATATTAATGAATTCTGAACAGTTAGCAAAGAATGTATTAGACACAAACCTTATTCATGAGAAAATTGCAATTGATAATGCCTTGATGCAATCACAAGAATCAGAGAGAGAGTCACAAATTATGTTTTCTTTAAAACATGTGAAGCCAAACAGTGAAAAGAGACGAAAGGAGGTTGTGGCAGGCGTTAGCAAAGGCTTCAAGTCGGGTGATGTCCATTTAGTGGATATAAATGTCAACTTACCGGAATTAGAAAGACAATATGTTTACACCGCTAGTTGGATGGATAGTAACATAGACAGGAAGTCCAAGGTTTATTTATATTGGAATTCTCAAACATCAACGGAGGAAAAACCAACATCTGAAGTTTGCTATATACATGAAATGCAATATTCACCAAATACTCCTCTAAATTTCAAACATATGAGGAAACATGCGCCGAGAAATAAAATCAAAGTTGAACTGCGATATGGAAAGAATTGCAGCGGAGGAGACGAAATTGTCGTCGACGCGAGCATATCGCGAAGCAACCGAATAAAGACTATGTTAGAGTCCTCCAAAGTAGTTAAACAATGTTGGGAAGAAATTGAGAGGGGACATAATGCACTGCGTGCTTGTCAGCAGGCCAATGAACTTGCCCAATTGAAGAATCAGTTGAACGTTTTAGTTAAAAGTTCAATAACTGACTATATTAAAGAAATTATTTCCAAGATTTCCGATTATTTGTCGCATCTCTTCCCTAATTCACAAATGGAAGTAACAGACTTGAAAGACTCTGAAAGAAATGCCCTCAATATAAAAATGACTTTGTCACCCTTGGAAATAGTTCCGCCGGCTTCCTTAGATTCTTCGCAAATAGATGTTACTGTCCCTAACACAGAGCAAACAGATTTCGAAATGCAAGAGCTATTAAAGGAAAATACCATACACCGCAGAAAAGAAAGAAGAGGTAAGTCACAAAATTTTATAAAAGACCTTTTAAAAAGATTTTATAAAAGATATAACTATTATTCTTCAAATATTGAAAGTTAAAATAATTTAATATATTGAATCATGTAATATATTATGTTAATTGAGAAACAATTGAGAAGTTAATGCTTGAATAATAACGCAGAGAAATTAATAATTTGGTTCTCTATTAACTTTAAATTTCTAAATTATTCCGCGATTTTTTCATTTATTCTAAATAAATAAATTACTCATTGTTCTATTATTGTTATCATGGCGCATTTATATTTTATTTGATAAAGATCGTTTGCAAAATGTAATGTAGATTACATATAAAAATTTCATAACGTATAAAATATTTGAATTTTTTTTACAGCTTCGTGTACTATTGATAAAGACATGGTTCTTACTTTTGATAAACTGCTTTATCCTATGAAACTGGGGCCTTGTAAACATGTACTAATGACTACTCAGCCACAAAAGGATCCCGATACTGAAAAAAACATAACAGAAAATTTTATTGCCTTAATTCAAAATCATAATGATGATACTAAAACAATCATTCTATTGATGGACGAGCACGTAATTGAATTAGAGAAAACAGATAATAATGTTACACTTCAAGTCGACGGCATTCCCATTCAATTATCACAGATTGATAGAGGTTATCAACTAAGAGAAAATGGTGAAACACTTCTTGAATTCGTCAAGCTACCTGACGGTTCAGTTGAAGTGATTTCGAGCGAATCTGATATCAAAATACTATTCGACGGAGAACGTATTCAATTATTGGTGAGTAAAAATGTGAAACAAACTAGTGATGGCTGTATTCGGAAATGTCGCTTAAATGCCTCCGATGCATTTAATGTTAAACAAGAACAGATGATGAATCCGAGGCATCAGAGGCATCCGAGCATTTCCGAATTCAGCCACTAATAAGTCGATCGCAGTAATATAAAAACAACAATCAAAATAAATTTGTCATCAGGCATCGGACAGATATCGCAATACTCTACGTGGTCTTTGTGGCAACTACGACTCCGATCCCAGCACTGATTTCCTCACTCCTCAAAACTGTCTCGTGAGGAAGCCCGAAGTATTCACCGCTACATATGCCTTGACTCATGAGGGTTGCCATCATGAAGACATTCTGGAGAACAAACGAAAAGCTGAACTCACTCAGTGCCATGAGTTGCCAAGAATTCGTCAGAACAACGTTATTAACGATATAGAAGCGGGAAGATTGCCGAGACGTAATGAACTTTGGGGCTATCATAACAATAATCTCAAGAGAAAATATAACTTGAATTATGATAGTGAAAAATCCAATGTCGAGAAAAATTTACCAGACGATAGCAATGCTGTCTACCGCACAAAAGTTATTCTAGAGGGCCAAGAAATCTGTTTCACGATCAAACCTATACTAACGTGCCGTGAGGGCTATAGCAGTCCTTCGGAAACAAAGGTGGAGGAAGTTAACCTTTATTGCCTACCAAGGAACGAGGAATCTTTATTAATAAAACGCAGGATCGAGCAAGGCGCTAACCCAGATTTTACCCGAAAGCCTGTCAGTAGATCGCGTCCTTTGAGCATTCCTATCACTTGCACATAATCTGGCAATACCAAAATGATATACCGACCATGCATACTTAAAATGACCTCTTTTTTATTTTTTCTTTTTTTAGAAAGCAATAAATATGCACTATTAAATCTTTATAGTATTAAATTTAACTCACATTAGGTTAAATTTAACACTATGAATTTAACAGTGTGTTGTTTAATAATGCAGTAATGTAAGCAATAATAAAGTTGAGCTTTTCAACATAATTATTTGTGGTATATTCTTTTCCGCATACCCAAGCTGTTCGAAATCAACACAATCTATTTAACATCAGCATTAATTAATTATTATCATTACATGTTTTTTATACACTAATTGTCCTTTTTGTCAGAAAAGTAACCGTTAAATTTTTATTTCTTTCTAGCAGAACGTTCATAAAAAAATGAGCTGGTAAATTTTTTATATTTTTCAATAGCGGTAACTGAATGAATCATCGTACTGCGGTAAATGAAAACTTAAATTAAAGCTTAAACATTCCTATTAATAACCAAGAAAATCAAAAGAGAGAAAATGCTTTACAAAATGACGGATATAATAATATAATAGTTAAAGAAAAAAAATTTGTTTTTCTATTTTTTAAGGTCAGTCTTCAACAATATCAATGTTTTGTAAAACATTTTCTGTAATTCAATTTGGATTGATTCAATTTCCCTGTTTATTAACTAAAATGTTCAAACTTTATATATATAACTTGAGTTTTGATTTATTCCAACATAATGATTTTTCATTAAATTACCATTATTAATAAATATTAAAAATTTATGCGAAATTTAGAGACCCGTTTTTTTGCAGGTGAGTGTAGATAAGAAATTAAGATGACAATGAACTAAAGACTGCGTTCCATTGCATGTACAGGGTGGGCCATCTATTGGTACGTTTTTAAAAATGCGATCAAATGAGCATACATTGATATTTTTTATTAATTTTTTTTTTGTTGTGAAGCTAAAAGTATCCGCGTCAAGAATGAAAAACGATTTCGTTCATGTGGCTCCCTCTACTGGCCTTACAGTATGCCATTCGGTCACCCCAATTATTAATGACATTTTGGACTACCTCGGCGCCAATTTCACTCAAAACAGTCGTAATATAATGTCATCCACTAACATCCCTTTCTCACGAACTTTCCTCACCAATTTGCGTATAGCTCCTTCGGTGGGTGCTCTATCACGACCCATATTTCTTTTCAAAATTCGTACAGTTTCGGCGACACAGCACTGACTTTGAAAATAAGTTTTTAAAATTTCAAAACGCTCTTCAAGAGAAAACATGTTGTTTCGTGCCGCGGACGGTATGACTAATAAACTGTCAAAATTTCGGGTCTGGAGCTCGTTCGGTGTTGCCATACGACGAAATTCAAAAACGTACCAATAGATGGCCCACCCTGTATGATGAGATGTCACTTTATCCTTGTTATTCAGAGTGTTAAACAAGAATAAAATAAGACATCATGCTGATTATATGCGCAACGAAAGGCAGCCCCGGTCTGTGTGACAAACGAGTTTTGATTATCGCCTTTATCTTTTATCCCAATTGTTTATTATCTCAATCAAAGTGCTTCGCATTCTAAGTTCGTGTCAAAAAGTTTCCGAACGTTCTAGAAAATCTAGAGTACAAAACCTCATCCTCTCGCGACTCCAGAGTCAGTCGCTAATAGTGATATCATAGTGCCGTATCGCAGCAATCGCAGTTATAAAATTACTTGCTTCGCACGGTGTGCGGTCACACGCGAGTTTGCAGTGCATTCGCATTCATAAATATCAGACTAGAAATTGAGATTAAAGTTGAAATTGAATTTGATCAATCAAAGCAAAGTTCACTGATACATCAGCTTTCTTTCTTCTGATTAATTAAATTCAATCTCAATCTCAATTTCAATCTCTTATCTAATACAGGAATAAAAGAAACTGTGCACGTGATATAAATATTCATATATTTTATATTGACTTTGTAATAAAAATTGCAATTTATCGTGATTCGATTGAGTTCGTTGACATCTCGAAGACTGATTCGCTTTTCTCACTGTATTTTCAACGCGCTGAGAATGCAAACACTATACATACGCAATGAATTAAACAGATTACAAACGGAAATTCTATATATAGTATAGGTGGAATATTGCTATGGATATATGAGTCAACGATAAAGAGGAAAATGGTTCTCCTTAATAAATAAATGAGTTTGTATTAACATGGAAAGAATGACTTTGTTGAAGTATTTAAAAATTTAGTTACCTACAGATCCAAAAATAACTTTGTTGGATCATCAAAATAATTTTGTAGGAATCTCAAATATGATGAGCAATGCTGCAAAATGTTTTGATCCTAGCCATCAGTTTGAACGTCTTACATAATTATTTTCATGGTCCAACGAAATTATTTTCAGAGAAATATGTATATGTATCTAAATAATTTTTTAATATTTTAATAAAACTATTTTTTCCGTATAGATTTTTTTTATGTCGTAATAGAAGATTTGAAAAAATAAATGACAATAATTAGAATGATAGTTACACGTTAATTTAATATAATTACTGCAGATAATATTTACTATACGCGTCCATGGAAAAAATAACCAGGATTCACACATTTTATGATCAGATTAGAGAACCCGAATGCATTATTTACTTCCGCATGCATTGTTGTCTTACCCTTGGGCAGCCCAATACGACAATAATGCATGGAATTAAATAACGCTCGAGTTATCTCCAATCTGATCATAAAATGTATGGATTGTACATCTCTCTCCGTGAACAGTATAAAATATTAATATTTTTATTAACAAAATCTTTTTAATAATAAATAATTTTTTTTCATTCTCTCTCTTTAAAAAGCTGACACATAGAGAGATAAAATTTTATTTTGTTTTTAATAATAGATTGTGCTTTAAGGTTACCAATGACCTGTTATAAACCTTCACTTACTATTTATAAAATAATGGGAATATGATGCATATTGTGAAAACACGTTCAGCGAAAGATAATAAATTTTATATAAATCTTATGATTACGAGAAATGTTATGATTATAAGAAATTAGAAATCAATAAAATATATGAAAAGTCGCTCAAAGAAAAATTTTCAAATATATAATTTATAATACAGACTAGATACTTCTTCATTGTTCGTAAAAAGTCGTGTAAAAAATTATATAAATTTTAGGACTTTCAATATATATAATATTATCAACATACAGTATTCGATTAATTCAATTATGTGTTAGATATCTGATGGAGACATAATTTATTAATAAATGTGGACATTCATTGAATAATCGGTAAAATGAATCATATTTTTGGACAAAGTCATTGTTCTGTTTAAAAATATAATATATGTGACGATCTTGTCTTCAATTTTCCAAGTATGTTACAATTATGGCGAATTACTCTCAATCACACTCGATTGTACTACCAGGATGTACCAAGTGCAATTCCAGTGTGTACAAGGTTAAAATAATTTATCATGTGCGTCGGAACAATATAGTTTTAAGTTCAAGTTGAAATCTAAATCAATGAGCATCGTTCCGTGCGAGTCAAACTGACATAGCATATGGAGCGTATATAAATCCGATTGAGAAGAAGGAGCTTTCATTTTGCATTTGACACTATTCGCATCATATCATGTGGCTGTATCTGGCTTTTTTCTTAATCAGTAAGTAGATGTCAACGTTATAAATAATATTAATTTCTACAAAAATTGTACGAAAAGTGACGATGACGTCATGTGTCATCTTTTAATGCGTATTTAAAAGAATATTCTGTACAACGTAGTAAAGTGATTATTACGAAATTTAAAACTACATATTGTTTCACTTTTTAATGCTATGATTTATCCAAAATTGTGGAAGTTTAGCCTCTCTTTAATAATCCCATAAATAAAAAGCAATGGAAGTTGGCGCAGAAATCAATGCGTAAATTTAACAAAATAATTATTTATATTTAATGACATGAATATTAAGTCGCAACAATTTATTTAACATCAAACGTATATTTCAACTCTGTATTTAAACCATCAACGAAATTTAACAATCAATAATACAATTGGGTACACAGATCTGCATTTTTTTGTGATGTTAATTTATCATGACGACACGACGAATTAACATCTTAGAAAGATGCAACCTGTGTAATCGCGGGATTGATTGTTAAATCTAGTTGATGGCTTAAATATAGAACCGAAATATACATTTAATGTTAAATTATTGCAACTTAATATTCATTGCTAAGAAAATAATTATTTTATTGAATTTGCACATTGATTTCTGTGCCAAGTCCTATTGTTCCATTACTTGTTTATTAATGTTGTTAAATTAATTGACGGAAGTCTATTTATCATTGTTAATTTGAAAATTAATAATATATTAATTTGTACAAAATTTATTAAGTTATATAATTTATACATTAATGTAAAAACAATTAACATATTATATAAAAATCCAAACTTTTATAAAAATATCAAGATTGTGTAATAATAAATTAATTAATTAAAACTAATCAAATTAAGAAGTTCATTTTTTCAATTTTTAAATTAATTAATTTATAATAAATTAACTTTTAACTTTAACTAGTTATTTTACAAGCTTAATTTCATAAGTCATTAAAATTAACTTAACCTAAAAGAAAATTTAGAAAATTTACCTGAAAGAAAAAATATTATTTATTCAATCTTTGAAAATGACTGTTAAGAAAATAATCAATATAGTAAACTTATGTAAATTCATTTTTTTACATGCTGCACATATTTTATTTGCTAAAACATACTTGAAAAAGTAATGACGCTTTCTTTCGATAGTTGAAGCGGTCATAGCCGATCACAATCATGCATGGGAAACAGGAAACGAATATCATTATCTTATAAAAAGTCGGACATTGACGGGCTTAGACGGGCTAGCTGAGCAGTATTCCGGAATTTTTATGAGAGGTAAATTCACCATTCAAGTGAAATTATCGGATACGCTGCAGGCTGTGGTATCTGAGATGCAGTATGCTTCGGTGAACGAAATATTGTCGGATATTTCGGATGAAATCACAAACCATGAGTTTCGCAAGCTTTCTATATCGGGAAAGTCCTTCGAGATCAAGCTCAAACGGGGAATAATACGAGATATGTTAATTGATCAGAATGTGCCTACTTGGGAGGTAAATTTGCTAAAAAGTATTGTGAGTCAGCTGCAGATTGACACAGAGGGTGAGAATGCAATAGCAAGTAGAAGCACTATGGTGCCCAACGACAATCAATCTTTTAGTGAATTTAAAGTCATGGAGGATTCAGTTGGCGGCAAATGCGAAGTCCTTTACAGTATTTCGTCAGTGAAGGGAGATAATTTATCAATATCTTTGCCACATCTCCACAAAGATGCTCAACAATTTATTATTACAAAAACGAAGAATTATTCCAGATGCGAACAGCGAGTAGCTTATCATTCTGGTATCATTAGTAAAATGAATTGGAAACCAGGATCTAACGATGGATTTCTTTCGGTGAGTTAGATTTTGATAGACAACTATCAAACAACATTTGAGTGGATAAAATCTTATGTGATTGAAGACTTTATCAAGAAAAAGATTTAGCGAAATTCTTTCGCTTTGAATGTTTCTACACTTCTATACGTATGATAATTCAATAAATAAAAATGCACACAATATCGAGAGAATAAAATTTATTTTTGTGATTGTATATTTGTTACAGAGATCATCTTCAAATAATATTATCATCTCCGGTAACCTGAAACGTTTCACTATTCAATCTTCCATGATGACAAACCAGATGTTAATAAACTCTAATAAATTTAACAATACATACTCTGGCGCTGTTTACAGTGGTATGAATTTAACTTTGGATAGAATGAATCGGATCTCCAACCCTATGCCTGTGTCCAACAATCTCATGTCAACCGGGAATTTAGTGTACACTTACAACAATCCGTTCTCTAGCCAACGCAAACCGCGTCGTCCGAATGTCAGTCAAAGTTCCTTGGCTCAATCATCCGAGAACAGTAATTCTAACAATTCTAGCGAGGAAAACTATAACGAAGATGACAACTTCAAGAGCGCGGATCAAGATTATTTTCAACCTAAACCGAAATTGAATGAAGCTCCGGAGAGTCCACTATTACCCTATTTCATTGGATACAAAGGCATGAGTATTTTAAATTCCGAAGAGAATTATACTCGGATAGCGATCCGCCTGATCGGTCGAACGTTAATACATGACGATTATCCAACTGAACATTTTTCCCCGGAGCAAATGAACGACCGATACATCAATGCTTTAGAACGATTCACAATTCTGGTTAGATTGATTCGCACTATGAATGTTGAACAGATCGCTGAAATAGATAACGAAGTGCCCAAAATGTATAATACTATAAACTCGTTTACTGAAAGCGATTTTAATTTAACACATCAAAATGTATGGAGTGCCTTTAGCTGTGCCGTTGCGAACGCCGGAACTGGTCCCGCTCTCATCACCATAAAAAATTGGATAAAGTCTGGAAAACTCGAGGGAATACAAGCGGCGCAGATTATTTCGAAAATTCCTAAATCCGCGCTCGCACCTACAACGGAATATGTCGCAGCGTTTTTCGTAAGTATTCATTATATCTATATATTAATATAGTACAGAGTATATAATTCTGGTACTTATGCTGCATACAAAGATTTACAACGTGAAAGTTAGAAAAAAAGCGAGAAGGGGAAAATAATTTGCACGCAACCGTTCTGTTGCAATATGCCTTTATGTTACATTTGCATTGTGATTTCTTATTAATATACTATTGAAACCATAATGAGTAAAAAATTTTTTACGTTCTTACGATGACCTTAGTTTTGGACAGGCTTGATGTAGAAATAGGAGGATAATAGAATGGAGTATAGCAAAACATAAATGCTTAGCTTTTGTATTCTTTTTTCGGCTTGTCTTCGGTCCCAGCTATTTGAAATATTTTTTAAATATAAAAAATAAACATTTGATATTTCTAATTTTTTTAGACAGTATTAAATCTCAGAAAGATATCGTTTATTCACTTTATTATTATAGCAAATAACACAGTACACACATTTCCTTCCATGGAAAAATCAAAGAAATTCTAAAAGTAGATGTAAAAAAAATATCCATGTTTCGGTGTTTTATCAAATCAAGTTAACGTTTTTTATGCAGTTATTTATCATATTTGCTTCATATTGTAGCCTTACAATTATTTAAATTATATAATATGTTTTTAAAATAAATAATTGAACGTTTTTACATGTGAAATTATACGATGTGTCCGAATACAAAAAAAACAATTGAGAATTTTTTTTTTCATATATTTTTAAATTTGTATAAAAATAAAAATACAATTACAATTATAATTGTTATAGAAATCTTGATCATTTGATTTACGTTTGTATGATTCTGGTTTTCACAAACAATAGACCAACAGTATTACCGAGCATGTGTCTGATATCTTTCCTTTGAAGCGTCCTGTGCTGTACAGTATTATAAAAAGACATTTAATGATACTTAAAATACGTTAACTTGATCTAGTACAACGCCGAGACACGAATATTTTTTTACATTTTCAGAATCTCTTTGATTTTTTCATGGGAGGAAAATAAATCGATTTTTCTCGAATTGTGTAATACTTGATAAATTAAAAGTTCGCGGCATATATACCGGAATTACTCCATATCAAACAAGAAATTCAAAGAATTTTAATCTTTAAAATTTCTCATTGTTTACATAAATATTTGTACTAACCGTTACATGCGAAGATTAATTTTAATGATTGATTTCTATGTAGCAACTGATTACCGATGAAAAAGTGACAAAACAGAGATTTTTGAATACAACTGCATCTTTGTCATTCGCCGAATTGGCTCGTTACACTCAAAGCAACAAATTATCTATTTACTATCCGGTCTACAGTTTCGGCCGTATGGTTCCTAAACATGACATTGAACTTCTTGAAACTTATATTCCGTATATGACTACCCAATTAAGAAAAGCCATTGAGGAAGGCGACAGTCATCGAATTCAAACGTACATCATGGCATTGGGTAATTTCGGTCATCCGAAAATACTTTCCGTTTTTGAGCCATATCTGGAAGGCACAATTCCGATATCGAAATTCCAACGTTTGATGATGGTCATCTCATTAAGCAAACTAACCGAAAGCTATCCGAGAGTTGTCAGATCCGTCGCCTTGAGGATTTATTTGAATTTAAAGGAGGCCTATGAATTACGTTGTGTAGCTGTTCACATCATAATGAAAACCAATCCATCCCTAATAATATTGCAGCGAATAGCGGAATTCACTAATCAGGATCAGGATCGGCATGTAAATTCTGTTGTCAAAACCAGTATTAAATCCCTCATTAATTTAGAACAATCAGAATGGAAAGATCTCGCTGAAAAGGCGCGTATCGCTAGCAAGCTATTGAATCCTAACATTAGCGAGGACAATTATTCTCAGAGCATTTTTATGCAAACGAAAATCGCCTCCTTAAACATTGCTCAAACAAACAGCTTTCAGATAATTGGTAGCGATGACACTAATACACCTAAAGGTGCATTTATTGATATACTTCAATCTTACGGTGGATTAAATCTACCCCTGACAAAAATGGCATATGCAGTATCAAGCATCGAAGAATTAAAACAGAAGTGGTTAGATATATTGCTAGGTAAACGGCTCTGGATGTCTCAAAATCAAACCAGGAAGGAATGGATGATTGAAACGATAGTTAAAAAGCTTGGTATTGAACCCGAAAATGCAGAACAGCTCGAAGGAAATTTCTTTGTGGACTCTGTATTTTCTTTAGGATTCTATCCCTTTGACAATCATACGCTTGAAGAATTCACGAATAGTAAGTATTCTAAAATTTATTTAAAAAAACTTTTGATTTTAATAAAGTGAATCATTATTATTTTTGTATTGCAGTGTTGAAAATGTATTATAAATCGATATCGCAGACAGGATCATATATTTTTGAATACAAAAATGTAAATGATATAAACCATTACGACATAACGTTGGGATTCCCGACTGAAACCGGTCTGCCGTTCATCTATACCTTAACAGTACCGAAAATAACGTCCATTAACAAGGGAGGATCTGTTAAAGTCACACACTTACAAAATGATAGCTTTATAGAATTGGCAGTAACAGGTTATATAGTATCAAGTGAGAAGATCCAAAGTAGAATTGGTTTCGTAACACCTTTCGAGCACAAACACTACATTGCTGGTGTTGATATCAATACGCATATTGCTATACCAGCTGGATTAAATGTCAAAACGAGAGGTAACGGTACATTTGAATTGAAGATACATCCTCAATATAACCCTCGTGTTGGCAGGGTTTCAATCAGGCGATTAGCCATTCACCATAGTGTGATTCCTTATACCTCAAGACAAGACATTCTGCAACTTCTAGAGTTTAGCAATGACACGCATCTAGTACACACAAAAAAACCGAATGAAGTTCAGTTTTCGATAGGTAACTTGACACTCTCCGCAAGAAGTGATGTTATTGACAGCGATATGTCGCAGGAGAAGGGACTTGAAAGCCTTATTAAGCTTTCTACTATATTTTATTTAAATCTTGGTGCCCATTACAGGAGATTCGATGCAATCTTATATCCCGTAGAAGCACAAGTAAATCTAACTCGTTATGTCAAGAGGACCAATAGAAGTTCGGAAGCAACAATTCCTACAATAGTTGACAAACGGCCTAAATGTGATTTGAATAGGAAACAACAATGCATCTTTCGTGACAAACTTCTTGACCTTGAAATAGATCTGACAATTATGTATATTCTGTCACTACATCTACAATATACGACATAAGTGTTTTAGTTGATAATAATTATTACGTTTTCACCTTCGTTTTGGGAGACAGCTTCGATAAATTGCAGACTCTTTTTTATGGAAATGTCCAATCGCTAGATGGGGAAGTCTTCTGGGAGTTTTGCAGTGTTAATAGCATTGTTGGATTATCACAGTACAATTATCTAAATGTTGAGAAAGCAGTCGAAACGAATCCGATTTACGAATTTAATGCTGAAATGCGATATGGAAGTTGTGCAAATGGAGAGACGATTAAACTCAAAGGAAATTTAAGTCGCACTAACGATGTTATAAAGAAGGCAATGAAATCCGAGGTAGTCAAAGAGTGTCGACAACAGATGAAGCAAGGCAATATTTGGTTACCAACTTGTCAAAAGGCCCACGAATTAATCCAACAGAGAGATCTTCTGATGATGTCAGTGGAAACAAATTCGGATAATTTCTATTTGCTTGCGAACAGAATGATCTTGATGATCAAGATGATGATTTCCGATAATAATATGAAAATATCAAATTTAGAAAGCGTTAGTAAGACCATGGATGTAAAAATAAAAATGTCGCTTGACAATAATGATGTGAACATTTCTTTGAGCACTTCGCAAGTGGATGTTTCGTTCCTTCTGTCGCACTTTATTGAAGATCCTAATGTTATCTTTTCTAATTGTACACTAAACAAGCTTTTTAAAGAAGATTTGAAAGGAGGTAAGTTATAAATGCATTCAAAGTATGTATGAGATCAATATAATTAACATAGTCATTATAAAAAAAGATCCCGAAAACCTTATAAAAAAATATTCAAAAATTATTTATGAAGAATAGACATGTTTTACTGACTCAAGTAGCACGCAGCGCTTACAAGCGTTAACAAAGCGCATAAACAAGCATAATCGCTTTTTTAGCACTTATTTGCAAGCACTTCTGTGCTACTTGGAAAACAACAAAATTTAACGTTTTTCTGTATCGCGAATGTGAATAAACATTTCCGATATTTTTGCTTGCTAAACACGAACCATTACCTACATTTGATTAGTAATTTGTATTTTTTAAAAAACATCCAAGATTTGAATTAAGATTTTGATGGATTCCATGACATTACACCAGCAGCAAATTTTATTCTTAAATTTTATTTATAATAAATCCATAAAAATATTAATATCATATCAACAAATATATAAAAATATATAAAATATTTATATCAACATCAATGCATTTTGATTTGTTTCAATATCATTTTTCATTTTCGATATATTAATTTGAAAATAGCTCTTTTTCATGTAAATTATATGAGATTCGTATTTTTTTTATGTCTTTTTTTCTTTATGTCTTGAGAAACCTTTTTTCTTTGTCTTTATGTATGTACTCATGTCGCTTCATTAAATATGAAAACTTTTTGCAGATATGTGCGTTCTCGACAAAACCCAAGTTGTAACTTTTGACGACAAGGTCTATCCCTTAACATTAGGAAAATGTTGGCACGTAATGATGGCGCCTTATCCAAAGCGAGATTCCAATAATCCCGAAAAAATTTTAGTATATCCATATGATATAAGGGCAATTGTCATGGCTCGAGAAATGGACGACGGCACTAAACAGGTATGGATAATCTTGGGTTATGAAGAAATTCATCTGCGAAAATTGGACGATCGTCTCCAAGTTTCTATCGTTGGTGGTGAGGAATATGATTCTCATTTCTCGAGTCATAAGAGCTACGGACAAACTGATTTATATGCAATTTATCAAAAGAATGGAATAATCGTAATGCATTCGCTGCAATATAATATCCACATCGTATATGATGGAGAACGTATTCTACTTCTGGTAAGTAAAAAAATAAAGCAAATTGTATATAAAATATACTACATAAGCTAAACTACTTCACTATGTGATTGCATAAAATATAATCAAGAGATGAAATTTAAATGTAATAAAACATGTCTGTTGTTAGGTACACGATAAATATCTCTATACCGTACGCGGTCTCTGCGGTAATTACGACATGCAATCCAACAACGATTTTGTTACCCCTAAGAATTGCATCCTGACGAAACCCGAAGAATTCGCTGCTACATATGCCCTGACTTATCGGGAGGACTGTGAAGGACCCGCTTTGCAGAACAAACTAAAAGCCGAACAATCCACATGCATTTCGAGATCGTACATTCCGGGTGACGTCATCAGTGAAAGAGAAAAGAGAAGATGCAACTATCATTAAAATAATCGATATGTTTAAGGAAAGAACAGCAATAATCGAATAGTTTTTTTTATCAAAACTGATAAGTACTGTAAGCCTGTGGAATAAAAATGAGAAGTCAAAAATATCTGGCATAATAAAAACGTTTTTATCCAATTCAAGCGCAGAATCAAGCAAAGATTAGAAAACATCGAAGAAAGTATTTCCAAGTTGGAAACTTTCAATGTTCGTATATTACTAGCTTTTTTATTGAGTGAGTACAAAAATTCGTATCCGATTAAAAAAAAATTTTTATGAAAAATTTTACGTAGGACGCAATATTTTAATTAAATTGATAATTATACTATTCGATAGAGCAAAGTTTCAGATTTAAGAATCTGTTTTTTGAATTGTGATGATGACAGAATTATGAACAATCAAAGTTAAAATGTTCTTTTTATTTAATTCATAATAACTCAGTAATACAAAATTGTTGACGCATTTTTAAATTTATATTTTATTTATTTTTAACAAAATTACATTCGTTTAAATTTTGAATAATAAATCAAATACGAAATTTTGCACTTACCCAATATTTTACATTTATTTTTTATTAATATGTGCTATTTTGTTAATTGTAATCACATACAATAAATATTGATAATGTTATATTTTTAATAACTCATATTTTAGTGATTTATTTTCTTTTTACAGGGGATTAAGTATAATCGAATAAATAAAAAATTAAAGAATAAAAGTATATTTGCATTTAAATTATAATTCGTCTGTTTAATATTCATTATTTATTTAATTTGACATGGTATAAATAGAATTTAACTTGGCACCAATTATTGATATCAAATCTTTTATATGATACATAGCATTAGAATAATTAAGCATTAGAGAAATTAAATAAATAACATTTAACTTTTTAATTTGTAGAATTTAACTTGATTAGTTAAAAATTTAACTTGATTAGTTAAGATTATAGCATCTGGATTTTAATTTTTTTTTATGAAAGAAGAGTAATAATTTTTGACAGAGAATTAAAGTTGTTATTACTAGGATTGGAATAAGAAAACCTTCAATAAGAATATTCTTGAAGAAAAATTAAAATTACTATTAATTAGGTTGGATATTTAGGTTTTATTCGAGAAGCACGTATAGAGCCTTTTTTTACCTTTTTTAAAAAGATAAGTTTGTACTGATATCACGCATTTTGTAATGACGAACGTCTTTATAAACAATTTATCTTATAATTGACTTCAAGAAACAAATTTTCATGTGTTTGTACGAAATTAGAAGGCTAAAATTGGCCCCTATTGACCCTTTTCTTTATGAAATAATTTTTATATAATAAGTTAAAGGAAATTTTAAGGTATTAGGTGTTGGAATTAATTCGTAGCGTTTTACAAGTGATGGGAAGTACTTTCATTAATGTATTTTTTAATGCTCATGTGAAATAAATAACATTCTTTCATTAAAAAACGCTACGAATTAATTCCAACACCTAATATAATTATTTAAGTCGACTAAAACATCAAGACGATGGCCATCTGTATTTTCCGAATTTTATTTTTATTCGATCTATTGTTAAATATTAATTTTTTACCTTCTTTTTAAAATGGTGAGTTTATTATTAAAACGATGGCCGTTTATACTATATAACTAACTTTTTTTTTAGTAGCACATGCTTTTTGCGGCTTTTTTTACCTTTTTTTAATTAAACAAATAATACATAAAATGTTGCGGAATTTATCTTGGCATAAGTATTTAATTTTCTTTATCTTTTTTTAAAATGGTAAGTTTGCATATAATTAAAAAAGTCCCATATATCAAAACGACGGTCATCTATATACGTATCATTTAGGTTTTATCATTTAGATTTTATAAATGATATATAATATATCATATTGAAATAAAATGTACAAGGTGTTTGATAATTCGGTAACGCTCGTGAACAGACAGAGCAAACTAAACTGAATCGAAAAGTCTTCTATCATTTTGCAATTTAGTATAATTAACAGAATATTACTAAAAATCGCTAAATATTAGTTTTCAATAATTTTTTGCTATCAATTTTACAGAAAAACAGCAAGAGATAAAAATTGTTTAATTTTTTTTCATAGAGTTCTGAGAATTTTTTTAGAATTTTCTTATATTGATAAAAATAGTTTTCACTATACCACGTCCACGGAAAAAACAATTATGATCTACATATTTTATGATTAGATTAGAAGACTCGAATGCGTTATTTACTTCCGCATGCATTATTGTCATATCTTTGAGCAGTCCAATACATATGATAACAATATTGCATATGGAATTAAATAATGCATTCGAGTCCTCCAATCTGATCATAAAATGTGTGAATTGTGGTCCTCTCTCCGTGGACAGTATACAATATTTATGTTTTTATATATTAATAAGATCTTGAAAATGAATAATTTTCTTTCATTCTATCTCTTTTAAAAGCTGACATATAAAGAGACAAAATTTTATTTTGTTTCTAATGACAGATTGTGCTTCATTAGAAGAATATGACCAGTTGATGTAAAATGTAAAACAGCAATGATCATTACGTAAATCTTTAAAAAGATAGAAACATTTAACACACACTAAAGGTTATCAATGATTTGTTATAAATCTTCGCGTAAACTTACTTGCTATCGATAAAATAACGAGAATATGATGCATATTGAAAACATATTCTATGAAAGATAACAAAGTTTATATAAGTATTACGATAATGAGAAATGTTATGATGAATGTTTATAAGAAATAAGAGATCAATGAAACATAAAATGAAATGAAAAATCGCTAAAAATTTCAAATAAAATATAATTTGTAATACAGGCTAATTTCTTTTTAATTTTTAGTAAAAAGTGTAAAGAATTATATAAATTTTAAAACCTTCTATATCTAACACTGTCAACATACAGTATTCAATTAATTCGATCATGTGTCAGATATCTGATGGAATCAGTAATTTATTAACAAATGTGAACATTTATTGAGTAATCGGTAAAATGAATCATATTTTTGGGCGAAGTCATTATTCTGTTTGAAAGTATAATATATGTGACGAATTTGTTTCTAATTTTCCAAGTATGTCACAATTATGATAAATTACTCTCGATCACACACGATTCTACTACCAGGATGTACTAAATGCAATTCTAGTATGTACAAGGTTAAATTAATTTATCACGTGCGTCGGAACAATATAGTTTTAAGTTCAAGTTGAAATCTAAATCATTCCGTGCAGGTCAAGCTGACATGGCATATGGAGCATATATAAATCCGACTGAGAAGAGGGAGCTTTCATTTTGCATTTGATATTATTCGCATCATAACATGTGGCTGTATCTGGCTTTTCTCTTAATCAGTAAGTAGATGTCAACGTTACAAATAATATTAGTTTCTACGAAAATTGTACGATGACGTCATTTTTCATCTTTTAATGCGTATTTAAAAGAATTTTACATAGTAAAGTGACATTATACATAGTAAAGTGACGAAATTTAAAATTATATATTGTTTCTCTTTTTTAATGCTGTGATTTCAAAACTGTGGAAGTTTAGCCTCTCTTTAATAATACCATAAATAAGAGACAATGGGAGTTGGCGCAGAAATCAATGCGTAAATTTAACAAAATAATTATTTATATTTAATGACACGAATATTAAATCGCAACAATTTATTTAACATCAAACGTACATTTCAACTCTATATTTGAACCATCACCAATAAATTTAAGTCAATATTGCAATTAGGTATACAAATTTGTATCTTTTTGTGATGTTAATCATAACGACATGACGAATTAACATCTTAGAAAGATACGAACCCGTGTAATCGCGGTATTGATTATTAAATTTAATTGATGGGTTAAATATAGAACCGAAATATACGTTTAAAGTTAAATAAATTATTGCAACTTAATATTCATGTTGTTAAGAAAATAATTATTTTACTGAATTTGCACACTGATTTCTGTGCCGAGTCCTATTGTTCCATTACTTGTTCATGGTTGTTATTAAATAGATGTGAGTCGATTCATCATTGTTAATTAATAATATCATTGAAAATTAATAATATTAATTTGTACAAAATTTACTAAGTTACAGATAATGTATAAAAATTCAAATTTTTATAAATATATCAAGATAGTGTAGTAACTAATTAATTAATTAAAAGTAATTAAGAAGTTCATAACTTTTTAATTAATTAATTTATAACAAGTTAACTTTTAACTTTAACTAGTTATTTTATAAGCTTAATTTCATAAATCATTAACATTAACTTAACCTAAAAGAAAATTGAAAGAAAAAATTTTACTTATTCAATCTTTGAAAATGACTGTTAAGAAAATAACCAATATAGTAAAATTATGTAAATTAATTTTTTTACATGAGCTACACATATTTTATTTGCTAAAACATACTTGAAAAAGTAATGACGCTTTCTTTCGATAGTTGAAGCGGTCATAGCCGATCACAATCATGCATGGGAAACAGGAAACGAATATCATTATCTTATAAAAAGTCGGACATTGACGGGCTTAGACGGGCTAGCTGAGCAGTATTCCGGAATTTTTATGAGAGGTAAATTCACCATTCAAGTGAAATTATCGGATACGCTGCAGGCTGTGGTATCTGAGATGCAGTATGCTTCGGTGAACGAAATATTGTCGGATATTTCGGATGAAATCACAAACCATGAGTTTCGCAAGCTTTCTATATCGGGAAAGTCCTTCGAGATCAAGCTCAAACGGGGAATAATACGAGATATGTTAATTGATCAGAATGTGCCTACTTGGGAGGTAAATTTGCTAAAAAGTATTGCGAGTCAGCTGCAGATTGATACAGAGGGTGAGAATGCAATAGCAAGTAGAACTATAGTGCCCAACGACAATCAATCTTTTAGTGAATTTAAAGTCATGGAGGATTCAGTTGGCGGCAAATGCGAAGTCCTTTACAGTATTTCGTCAGTGAAGGGAGATAATTTGTCAATATCTTTGCCACATCTCCACAAAGATGCTCAACAATTTATTATTACAAAAACGAAGAATTACTCCAGATGCGAACAGCGAGTAGCTTATCATTCTGGTATCATTAGTAAAATGAATTGGAAACCAGGATCTAA